AGTTAGGACAAAATAAAGTATAATATCACTGTCAATTTTCTTCAAGATAGACGGTGAAAAATTCACATTTAGCTTTCAGTTGTAGTTCAGAATGGCCGTCACTAGTGACCTATAGACCCAGGTTTTTCTACTGGTACCGTTGAAAACCATATGGACCGTTTGCGTGCAAGTATCTAAGGTCGGGACAAAAAAAATGGACAAGACATTCACAAGTAGTACACCCTTCGCTCTACCCTATTTCTCTAAAAGGTAATCACTTCGGCATGTTTCACAACTCTGGGTGACGGTACTGTTGGAGTCAAGATAAACTTGCGTAAAACGAAATCAAGACGGATATCAACCAGTAAGTCGGCAACCGCGCAGTGACATCCTAAAGCGCGGTAAAAGATATGCGGTACCACTGAACGGAGCGTGTTGCTTTACAACTGCTGTCATCATGAAATCGGCCAAGGGAGTGGTTATTCAAATCTCTCGAACTCAACCTAATTTGCTCATTTCTTTATGTCCCCCTGGTATCTTTAAACCGGTTGTTTTCTCCTTCCCGCAACGTTGATATCAAAGTTTTATATTCACTACGAGTAAAACTATAGATAGAGAGATGCATGTGCGTTAGATACATTAGCAGCAATTTCATCCCGTTCTAGTTGCTTCCATGATGTGTTGTACAGTGTACCGCATAAATCACACCAAACTGTGCAATGGCTAGATTCAATTTCATTCCATTTCCAGTCCCTAATATTACTTAATTGAGAATCTGTACCAATCAAATAAAAATGAGAAATAAGCACGGGAAACTTCTGCCTGGCATTTTTACATCACCATCAAAAAATACACGTTTAGACCTCGTTTGCCATACAATATTTACATATTTAATAATGAAATAATCAGTGGTAGAAATGAAAATTTCAGAAGTCTGAAACTGATTTAAAAACATATTCATAAATGTAAAAAATAAATTCACTCTCAAAAGAATCAATCCTTACCTTCCGTGAAACCAGGCTCACACCTTCAGCCCGCTCCGACTCGCTTACGCGATCCTTATCCAAACGCTGCAGTTGATTAATCAAACCGATCACCGTGAGACGATAGTCTTCTTTTTCGGTTATCGGATTATCTGAAGAGGAGATGCCAAACAAAAGAGTAAGATTCAACTAATGCAT